TACGCCGATTTTGACCAGATTTGCGCTGCAGATCACGTAGCATGCGTGGTCCAGTTCACTTTTTGCCCCGCTGTGCATACTTTCGTCTGACCATATTCTGTAAAGAAGCTGTAGCGGCAGCTTGTCAGCTCTTCACCGCCGTGTTTAAAAAGCCCAGTCATCGATTTATTGTTCCTCTAGCGGTTAAACCTTATCATAGTCGGGTAAGTGAACGTATTTTTCATCATCATCAACTGTGGTTTCGGGTTCGCCATTCCCGGGTGTCGCAGTTTTACAGTCATTCAGCAGGCTGGGGAAGTTTTCCCTCCATACACTAGGTATGCTCTAGACATCGGTTACGAGATTTCCAGATTGATTTTTACAGGAGTATGCTCCGGTCTTGACACCTTCGGTTAGTCGCCGCATCTTTTCATAGAATTTTCTATTTAGCATAATCCTCATCCACCAACTTCTCACGCTTTTCATACTGACGCATTTTGCGCTCTTTCTTTTTTTGTCTGCAAATGCGTCCTGCTTCCCTCTTCAGCTCTCAGTATCCATCCTACCCCGTACGTGTTGTGGTCAGTCGCAAGGTTGCTATATTGTTTTCTCTCCACTGCAGTTCGACACTCCTCATCGTACCAGCTGTTTTTATGACGCTGCTGAAAAGCTGTTGTTCCACAGTTCTCGTATATTGATGAGTGCTCTTAGAAAGCAGCCCTGCAAGTCGGGTAGAAAACCATTTGGCCGGTTGTTGTTATTGCCGCTTTTCTAGGTCAAACCTTCTTTATGTTTGTTGACGAGCGTTCATAGATACACACAGGCAGAGAATCCGAATTTATTAGGTCCTCGAAACATACAGATATCGAGAACACTGCAGACATGTCTTCTGTCAATCACGACGTGGTCGATTTCATTGCAAGATATCCGATCCCGCGACAGGCACTTAACTTGATGAATTTTTTTGTGCGCAAATCTACAGACAACCTTATTTCGATCCCCGCAAAGTCGATCAGCCTCAGTCCGTTTGGGAATGTTTCATCTTGGTGGCTGAATTTTCCGACTGTTATGCCAAAAATATTTTCTTTGGTCACATTATTCGTTTTTTCCGTCGGGGCGTGGTTGCAAATCAGCGTTGTTTGGAAAACTTCTTTTTTATGGGGTTAACGGATTGAATATCATTACTCGATGTCTATTTATCGCCACGAAACTAACCGCGACCGCAAAGAGAAAAATTAATTTTCTATAATCTTCGATATTGGTCGAACCAGAACTCGAAGTGTGAACTGTGGTAGTACCACCAACCACTGGCCTATCGCGGCTCATTGTTAATTCTTCCCTTATCCTAAATAAAGGACCAATAACTTGCAGGTGGAAATGTTCTTGCAGCATCGGTGTCTAGTGAATTTGAGGTTTAGTTCCTTATCTTTGCTCAGGTGGGACCACAACGATTTTTGGGTAAGAGAATAAATATTTCTACTTCTCTATACTATTTCTTGGATGACTCCTTGGCATTCCTTGGCGAGTAACGACACCATTAGGAAAAAAGTTTTTAGTTTGATTTATCTGTTCGGCACCTCGCGCCAAAAACCTCTGACTCATGTCCCGAAACTGAATTACTTCGATTGTATTCAGCGGTTCAGCATAGCTCCACTCGACGCCGGGGCGACCAAAAGTCCGTCAGTAATGACTGTAAGAGATACGCATAAGATTTGCTGTTGTATATATTTGATTTGCGATATTTTGGCAGCAACAAAACCCACAACATGCGAGATAAAAGTTACATTCAGTTCGTTTCCCTTTCAATTTACTTTATTTATTTCATTTTATTGCCGGAGCAATAAATCGCCACCAAATTGTGCATATAAACATGATTACATATCTCCGCAGCAACTAAAGCGCTCGCAAACAACTGAGACTTATTACAATTTCGTATGTGGCGATTGTGCTGTTGATTCGACGGCGTATGGTTTCAAAGTACGCGCGGCGCATGCGCAATAAATCTGAAATGTTTAGCTGCTGTAGGAGCAGCGGGCAGCAACAATAGCAACAGCAATGAGTAAACAAAGTTCTCGTCTAAAATCACTTTAAATGTTGGCAATCGCAATTGAAATGGAAATCACTCGTATATACCTACTTACATAAAAATGTTTGTATATTTGTATGCGGCATGGTTTTTTTTTTCAACTGCAGCATTTCGCTTTTAATTGACTGTCCTGCCACGCTATGCTGTGCGCTGCAAAGTTATTGTTGCGCGTTTTTTGCGTGCGCATTTCGTTAGCGGACCATTAGCCACCAAATTGACTGCCGCAGGCGGCGCACACATACACACATTGTGTTCATATAGATACATATAGAGTATGTGTGCAGATATATGCCGTTGGATCCACCTTCCTTCCATGTCTAACGCAATGGCCTTGTCCTCAGTTTACTTTACTATTTTGCTCTTCCTAACTCACTCCTTTTTATTCTTCGCTTCCCCCTCCCACTCTTCTAATTCGTTGCGTTGCGTTGCGTCGATTTGATTGAATTCAAATCAAACCTTCTTCGATGCTTAATGCCCAATGCCCAATGCATGTCAAAACAAAACAGAATTAACAATGCACATAAACAAAAGCATCAAATAACAACAACAACAACAACAACAAGACAACACATCAACATTGCTCCTCAACAACCCTCGAACCACACAGAGAACTCTCATTTCTGCTTCATATTATTTTGCTACTGTCTTTGCCTTTTGCAACTTCTCCCTTTTTCCTTCAGTTGAGTTCACTGCAGCGGCAATGGAAAAATTATCCGAGAATGTCAAAGTCATTTGAACAGGTTTTTTTGTGGTGTTTTTGTTTTTCATTTTATTGTTTAGTTGTTGTTGTTATTAAGCTTAAATGCCACCTTACCAACTAAGAGCCATCATCAACTTTAGCGAAATTACCAATGTCAACAACGTAGATGCGAAGATACTCAGGCGCATTGTGGTCTTCGGCTTTAGTTGGTGGCGGTCAAGAGCTCGGCGGAGGTGTGTGGGTGACGAACTAGCGGCACACCGCGAAGTTTGTGGTAAAAAGTGGTTTTAGATATTAATATGAAGACTTGAGCAGGTTGGTAAATGCGATTGGGTGACTCTTAGAGAACTGTGGTACATTAAGCCCATTGTGAGGCTCAATATTTAATTGCCACACAGTTTTGAACGAGACGCAATCAAGGGATTTAGCATTGGGTGATGTAGACGAAATGTAAACGCATTCAGTATTCGGTTGTGATGGAAAAACGTTGCCCTCCCAGTGGGAATTTTGAACACCTTTTAGTCTCTGGGCACCGCTTTCGCAATTATAGTCGAATCAATAATAGGCTTCTCTTGACTGTTTGGCGCCATTTGGAAATACCAAACGTAACCAGGTCATTATCCACCTGATCTTTTAAACCGATTGGAGGATTTCCTGTTCCTCTGCTTTTACTAGCGGCTATTGCTTTGAAAACTTTTAAAGTTGGAGTGCTTTCATCCATTCGGCCGACGCAGCCGATGCCTCTTCATTCGCTGGACTAGATCACTCTCACCGTATTGTATTCGCCGTGGTCAATGAGCATATAACCATATATCGTTCGCAATTTTTTACTCTTGAAAACTTCCAGGCAGGGTCAAATCATCGGATGTCGAATGATGAGCGATTTGTAGAGTTTGGTTGTGTTCGTCGAGAGAGAACTTTACTACTCAATTCAAAGTAGCTTCCGTTGCGTCTCAAATGCTGACATTATTATTGATGCTGACTTCGGCCGCGGTAGCCGAGTGGTTAGCATTGCGTAATGCCACTCGGAAGCCTCGGGTTCAAATCCTGGTGTCGTACTAACATCCAAAAAGTTATAGAAAATTAATTTAAATAAAAAACTACGTTAAATTTTCTAATTGTGGTCGCCGCTCGGCAGGAGATGGCAACTCCTCCGAGTGTATATCTGACATGATATAAAAGCTCCTCGTAAGAAACAACATCAGCCCTTCGGAGGTGACTTAATATAAACTGTAGATCCATCCATTAAGACGCAAAACCTCAAATTGAAGAAGGAGCTTGGCCGATAATCGCTTCAGTGGCTAAAAGTCTTTATTAAGTAACATGCCTGGGAAGGAAATGTCTTATAACAACTCTTTATTTTCTTTTTTAGGGCTAGTCCTCTGAAGGATTCCCGCAAGACTAAGATATTTAAAGAGAATAGACCTAAGTTTACTCGTCACTTCTCTTTTCCCTTCGATGGCATGGATGAGTTCGATCATTTCGCTTCTCACCTGTGAGAGACTGAAAGGAGGTCAGGAGTGTTAACCTTGATAAAAATTATCTGTTAGGTAGGCACGCTAGAAGGTTTACTTTGTCTTGCTAGCTTCACACATTGATTTGAGTAGTTGGAGAGGGATATTAGAGTCTTCACTAGTACCACAATCAGCGCGTTTGGTTTCATAAGTGAACAAAAATTTCAACCTCATTTAATATACAGGCAATTCTTGGCCTAACTAATAATCTAATATCCGATTTGCGGAGCGAATCTATTGGTTTTTTATCTACCAAGAGGAATATCAATGTATGGTTGGGCTTTTGCACACTCAGTCTTATTATTTATATATCGAACTATCTATCTCCTCAGGAAATCTGTGTCTCAGTGTATAAGACTGTTCAGTCTTTTGAGATAAAGAAGGCATTCATCACCAGTAACATCTAGAAGTTGCACTTTAATAAGTACTCACGCTCCCACTTGGGATATACTAGAATATCTGTCTAGTCAGTATCTTACAACTTGGCCCCCAGGTATAGCACTACCATCTTATATTATTACCACCCTATGTTCCGTAGCCATCCAATAAAGTGGCAGAACAGAGGTTTGGCAAACTCGAATACTTAGGGCACATATGAGGGTACTGTTTTCATATAGTGGCATAAGCTTGCTCTGGTCAGCGGAGAAAGAATAGAAATTAAATTCTTAAAGATATAAGTTTTGACCGCAGAAAGCAGCACTGCAAAAATTAAAGTATGTAATAAGAGCTATTCAAACTTTATTGAAATGATTTGCAATACGACGAATTTTGCACAAAAAAAAGTAAAGAATTATGACAGCTTTTTAGAACACTGATTTGCTTTTCTCCCTTATCATGGTACTGCGTTTCGAAACACTCTCAGTTTTATCTGGTTCGAAGAAAGCGTAGGCAATGCGCATATTGTTCGAGAAGCCCGTGCCTTCCTTCCAGGGTGAAACAATGACCACTGAATCACCTTTATCGACGAGTTTGAGTTTCTTAGCAGCAGCCAAGGCATACTGAACACGTAATTCAACATCTTTTTGGTAATCCGGATCGGATTTTTCTGAAAATGGAAGAAATGAATATAAATAATCTGCTAGTCATTTATAGTTCGGGTACGTGAAAGCTGGATATTACGAGCAAGTGAGCTAAAATCCTTACTGAGCTATCTCTGCAACTGCTTCTGATTCTTATCTCATACATTCCTTGCTAAGTTTTATGTGTCTTGTCTACGATAGTTTCTTTCAAGTCTTAGAAAATCCTTCCTTTAAGTCTGTAGCCAACTCGCTAATTTCCAAGGGTCGTACTCTTCCCAAAAGAGCTGTACTAAAGGTATATACTCTTCAATATATTGCTCCAATAGATGATATCTCATGCTGCGTACCTCGATAAGTCTTAACCTGAGCCATTTTTTTTTTACTACCAAGAATGTTGACTATTCAAAAACTTTATTTTCTTTTAGGAAGTGTCTCTGAAGGCTTAGTGGAGCTCCATCTGAGTTCCTTTAGGACAAATATAAAGGTTCCGAATAAATTTGTTATTCTGGTAGAACATTTTTCCTGGAGATTGCTAAAATGGGGAGCTTTTTTGTATGAGGTCAAGACAAAAAAATTGATTGGGAGAATTCTTCGACCATTTTTATAATGGTGAAAATGAATAATTTCTATGGGCACTTGCAGCTTGCCTGATATCTTTCTTTACTTTCAACTCTCAGTCTCATATGTTTGCTCTTAAGTCGATTAGTAGGCTCATTCTGATCCCCTAGTTATGGAGGGGTCATATAAATATTTCCAAACTCATAGTTCCCGAATAAAGTTCCGAGAAAAGTACTTTTCTTCTCCTAACCCCTGACTGGAAAAATTAATTTCCAACTGATTCTATAACAATCTCACCTGAATAGAGCACCGGATAAACGGCTCGCCTCAGATTACACTGTCGTGCAGTCCGTCCGCAACGCGTCAGCGCTATTATCGGACAATGCGGTCGATACATGCTAACCAAGTACGCCGATCGACCAGAAGTTGTTAGGATGATAATGAGTGCCGCCATTGCCTTTTGTGCCGAATCCACAGCTGCCAAGGCGACAGCGTGTACTGCATCGATTGCTGCCGGATTGTTTAGCATGAGCTCCTTATGTAAATGACGACGCCAAATAACAGCTTCCGCTTCAGCGCATATGTTGGCCACGCAGATGACCGTCTCTAGTGGATACTTGCCAATGGCGCTCTCACTGGCAAGCATGACACCATCCACCCCATCGATCACAGTGTTGCCCACATCTGCCACATCGGCGCGCGTAGGACGGCGTTCAGAGTTCATGGAAGACAACAGCTGAGTACCCACAATTACCGGTTTGCCCACACGATTGCAACGCGCTACAATCGCTTTCTGCAGCAGGAAGAGCTTCTCATCCGGCAAATCAATGCCCAAACTGCTCCGATCGATCAGTATGCCATCAGAGGCGCAGATCACTTCATTGAGATATTCCAGAATTTGTGTACAATCGATTTTGCACACGATCTGTATGTCTTTACCGCGTTCACCCATAACGGCGCGTATCTCGCGTATGGCGGAGGGATGACGTATCTTGGAGGCGAATATGAAGTCGAAGTTATTTTCTACAGCAAAACGCAGATCGAAACGATCTTTCTCTGAGACGGGCGGTAAATCTACATTCACACTACCCAGCCAAACACCCTTCGAAGCGCCCAAAATGCCGCCCACCTCCACTTGACAAATCACACAATCCACGGCGACCTCCTTCACCAGCAGCATAATGGTGCCGTCACAAAGATAAATTATATTTCCCGGCTGCATGACATTAATAATATTCGGGTAATCAACATAGACTGTCTCCTTGCTGCCCTTATCCATGAGATCTTTATTTACAGACAGTCGTATATTGTCGTTCTTCTTCAGTTCCACCTCTTGAACACCCTCAAACGAGCCGGTACGTATTTCCGAGCCCTTCGTGTCCAGCGCTATGCCAATGTGTCGGCGATAGCCCTCCTCTTCGGCGTAGTCATCGGACGCTGCGCGTATCATATCGATTGTGGATTTATGGTGCTCGTGCGACTCGTGTGAGAAATTGAGCCGCGCTATATCCATGCCGGCCTTCATTAGGCTCTTCAGCATTGTTCTGTTGCGCGACACAACGCCGATGGTGCAAATAATATTTGTCAGGCGGCGTACTGCTGGCGGCCCATCGAATTGCAACCTACATATGTGCTCCAATTGAGTTTCCGACTCGTTGGATACGCTCATCTTTATGCTCATTTTGTTTAGTTGTAGTAATTAAAGTCAACGGACGGTATTAAATATTTTACGATTTTTTTTGTTATTTTATAAGACTAGAAATTTGGGAAAATATTTTAATATAATAATACAAGAAAAAACTCTAGAATGTCTGAACAGACATTTTTTTCGCCTTCCTTTTATTTTTTCTTATGGATATGTGAGAGATTGAAAAATAAATATATTATATTTCAGAAATCAAAAAAATTTAATCGATATTTTGTGGCACAAATCAATATGGCAAGAAATATTTTTCCACCCCAAAAAAAGGACTCAACTTCATTATTTGAGATCCAATCTGCTACACAACGCTTCTGGCCGCTCAGTTTTCTGCCAATTGGAGACACCAAGTATAGTTAGGTACTCTCCGCTTGACGTTCGAAGTACTCCGCTCTGAATTCCACTCATTTTTAAGCAAAAACTGAACATATTTAGCTGCCTTTTTATTCGTTTGCAGTATTCCCCGTATCCTATTATCCAGAGGATCGTCCACGCTTCTGCACCTTGGTTGTACATTATGGGGGACTTCTAGAGTCTTTGTCTCGAATTGGGATGTAATCAAATAAGAGGGAATTGAATATGGCCTTGTGACAGCAGCTACAAGCGACGAATTGAAGTCTATACCCGATTGCACAACTGGTACAGTCTTATACTGATTTCCATATCATCAAAAGTAACAGCTCATCTCTCAACTCCGTGGAGACCCTGCAAGAGTTCTATTACTTGTCGATCTCCTCATCTATAAACTGATTGCCTAAGTACAGTTCACATCAATTCTATTTACATTTGTAGTGGATCTGGCTTTTAGCATCTTATCTCATGGGTTTAAGTGCCATCTCTCCCTGAGCTCCCAGCTTTTTCTGATTTCTTAGACAAGCACGGGATGGGATCCTATACTAAATACATGCTCGAGAAAAGATAGCGGCTATCAGGGAGGAGCAGGGAAAACCCCATTTACTACTCAAAATAAAATTTCATCCGTGCCCAAACGCGAGCGCATGAAAAATCCAGCTTTGCGGATGAAGCTAAGAAGAGTTTCAAAAGGTAAAAATAGCTAGTTAGGTGTGAGTTAGACGCTGGCCCTAAATTTATTATATATTTCTGTGGGCAGCTTGGCAGACTTGATAACCCAGGAACCAGTTAAATCATTAAGGACGGCGGTTGGTTTCATAATAGCAATAAGATCGTCGTATATGAAGTGTAAATAAGTTTATGGAAACCGGATGCGTAATCCCAACCATAAAAAGACCAAAAAATGCAGTAAATCATGAACCTATCCTTACATACTATGGACTTAAAGGTCATGGAAGTTGAGGAAACCCACAGGAAACAAGTGCACATGTCAATCAATGAAGAGTCCCTAGACCTGCTGAGAAAAGTAAAAAATAAATTATGATTTGGATGAGGTGATAACTCAAGTCCATATCGGTCTTACTTGCTCCAGCTGTTGAATGGAAGTGTAAACTGATAGCGAGGCACGCGAGTAAGAGTAAAAAACTTTCACGTCTCAGCAAAACAACGCGGACTATCTACGCAATTTTAATGATGAGAGGAAGCTGCTAGTTCGCGAGATAGGTCTGGGTGCTGACTTAATTGTATTAAGTCTCTTTTGTAGATGCTGCAAATCAACCAATACAAATCTCTGGTGGCTTGGGTGGTAAACTGAAGAATATGTGATTATCGACCGCCGAGCCACCGGACTTCTTGGTTAAATCAGAGTTAGAGAGACCAAAATTATTACATTACTCCTACACGGATATTCTTTTGCAGGTCTAAGTACAGCAAACTAAAATATATTCTACATAACCGTACATATATATGGGCACTCATACAAACATATCCCTAAATAAGCTTTTAAGTTTTGCTCCTACATAAATTCAGTTGTTGCTCTTAACAACGCATGGCATTGTTCCTACTCAGTGGCGAATGGAGAAGCAAAAGGATTAAACTTTTCCAACAATGCTGTTAAAAACAATAAACAAAAGTTGTTATTATGAAAATTGCTCTGAAACAAAAAGCATAAGCGCCAGCGACAGCCACAGTCACAGCCACAACGAGAGTGTAGGAGCGCCAAGGGAAGGCAGGCAGATGGTGAGACAGGCGGCAAAAGTCTTTTATGCTGTGGCAGCTGCTTAGCTGGCCACAGTGGCAGTGGTAATAGAGGCGGCAACAGCAACAGCAACAATAAAAAAAGGAACAGCAGTATAGAGTTAGCAGCCTTTTTGGTAAGCCACAAATTCATTGTACACGAAGCACTTGAAGTTGTTAGTAATCGGTTGTGAGCAACAGCAATAATACAAGTAATACCCGGAGCACAAGTGCTGTAAGTGCATTTGGGGAACATAAAACAACAGTTGGCAACAATTGGGCTTGTTTTGTTCTTGCACTTTATTTCATTTCTTTTTTTTTTTTTGTTTGTGGTAAGTGATATTATTTGGATTGCATTTGAAGGATTTATGTGGCAAATTAATTGTTGCCTTTATGTTCTATGTACATATATACAAATGTATATACGTATATGTATGTATATGTATACACATATATGTATATTTCTGAGTAAGCTTCTCTCTCTACATTTGCTCTTCCCTTCTGAGTCCTCGCTTGTACCGAGTTTAATTTTTGTTTGCTCATTGGTCTTCTCCATTCGGTAGTTTTGTTGGTTGTGTAGCTTCTTTAAGCGTATTATTTACTACAGCAGCTTATGTTGGGGATTATGTGGCATAAGTAAAGCGCTTAGAAACACACAAGCACACGCTCCATGAACGTTTGCCAAATTTTAAGTGTTGCTTTGTGCATTATTGCTCTGAAATTTGTATATTTTTCAATGAAATCGAGATTGGGAATATTAATTTATGTGACCATCAATTTAGTTTCAGCTTTAATTTTTAGTAGAACTTTCAGATAATGCTATTTTGGAACTGAAACCACTTTGTCTAGTAAAGTCGGATGTCCAGGCAGTGATTTAACGCAAGACGAAATATCTCCTGTCATCACACAAACAGTCATCGCATTTGCGATTCGGATCCCACGTCACTATTGAAGGCATAACTTTGAAGCCGTAGCCAATTACGATTATCTAGAGACCAGCATTAACACCAATAACAAAGTCAGCCTGAAAATTCAACGCAAAATCACTCTTTTCAACAGGTGCTACTTCGGACTCAGTAGGCAATTGACTAGTTAAGTCCTCTCCAGACAAAAGAAAACCAAACTCTACAAGTCCCTCATCGTTACCCTCCTGCTTTACGGTGCGGAGGCATGGACGTTGACAACATCTGATGAGTCGACGTAAGAAGTTTTCGAGAGAAAGGTTTTGCGTAAGATTTATAGTCCTCTACGAGTTGGGACGGCGAATACCGCAATCGATGAAATGATGAGCTGTATGAGATATACGGCGACGTTGACATAGTTCAGCTAATTAAGAAACAGCGGCTACGCAGTCCGGCTGAATAAGAACACTTCAGCTCTGAAAGTTTTCGATGCAATACCCGCCAGAGAAAGTCAAGGAAGAGGGAGACCTCCACACCATTGGAAAGTTCGAGTAGAGTAGGATCTGGCTCTACTTGGTATCTCCAGTTGGCGCCAAGCAGCGAGAAAACGGAATGAATGGCGCGATGTTATAAACTCGGCTAAAATCGCGTAAGCGGTGTCTATGCCAGTAAAAGAAGAAAGTAAGAATCTACAAGCCATTGTTTAAGCGCCATTACATCCGCCAAATATTACTGTGTAGTGTGCTCTATAGGCAGAGGGATTCATCGATCGATATTTCTTAAAAAATGAAGCTGGCAATAATGTTGCAGTCAATAGGAAACGCTATAGAGCCATGACTAATTATTTCTTCGTGCCTTAGAACAGAAGTGTATACATATACAGGGTGCAATGCCATACCGACATTGAAGATAATGAGATAGCTGACGGACTTGCTAAGAAGGTTCTCTATTTAGAACGGGATACAGCAGCGAACCTTCCAGTTGTATTCAAGGGAGTGAAGAAAAAGCAAGGGTAATACTCCTTTCGTCAGGCGAGTATACTCGGGGTACAAGCTAAGGGCTGCAGTTACATTTAAAAATTCTAAGAGAAATTCTTCCTGACCGAAAAATACAAATTTTTATTAAAATAAGTGTTTTAAATTTACATAATATGTACGAGTATATAACTAAGAAATTTATTGAGCATTTATTTTCCAATGTCCATTATAAAACTTTATTTCCTGTGATATTTTAAAAACTTTTCACAACTAAGCAATACTGCCATAAAATCATATTTTTTTATGTTTCAAAAGATTTATGTCCAATTTAATATTTGTTTTTCATTTCCATTTTTTACAACCATCACCACTATGACGGCCGCGTCGGCAGTGTTAAGTTGGTAAATCAAAGAGTGCTGATTGCCAAACTCTTGTAATAATAATAAATATTTTTGTCGGTGGCTTTAAGTTGTGGCTGAAATGTGGTTTATGAGGCAACTGCATGCTGAGCTGTGAACAACTTCATTGTGCAGTCATAAATTTCATGAAACAACACATAAATATCTACATATATTCATTAGTATGTATATAAATTCACGTGGAGATGGAGAGAGCGAGAGAAAGAGAGAGAGAGAGGAGCATATAAGCACTTTCTTAAATAACCCTCATGTGGCAGCAACAAGTTGTTGCACTTACCCACCGCTGTTAGTTGTTTTTATTGCTGTTGCTAGTTTGGCTTTGTGTTGTTCTTGCTGCAGTCAGCCATTAAATGTCCAGCCACACCTGCATGGCGGGCGTGTAAAAATGCGCAAAAAATAAAATATTAAAAAGGAATATCTGCCTGGCGAAGCGGCAGATTTCACCTACGTACTGATAGTGATGTAAGTATGCATGTATGTACGTGTATGTAAGCGCTTTTATGCCCTAAAATACTCAGTTTGCCGAAGTGCCTGCGTACAAACGTTATTTTTAATTAAATCTTGAAGGCGTATGACTGTGTTGCACAGCTGCGCTGGATTGGTGTACTTGCCACATTTTGTTGCATGCAACACAATTAACTTCATTTCATTTAAGCCAACTGCTTATCAAATTGTGCATCTCGTGAGTGATTTCCAATAATTCATGGCGTGCTTTGTAACCTCAAAAATAAAATAGTATTGAAATGCAGC